TTATAATTTTTGTAAAACTTGCGACCGTTGTCAAAGGATTGGGAATATCGGTTCCCGAAATGAAATGCCTCTAGTTAACAATTTACAAGTTGAAATCTTTGATGTTTGGGGCATTGATTTTATGGGACCGTTTCCTAAATCCTTTGGTTTCGAGTATATCTTGCTTGCCGTTGATTATGTGTCTAAGTGGGTCGAGGCTATCCCCACCAAGACATGCGATGCTAATGTTGTCGTTAAGTTTTTGCAAAGTAACATTTTGAGTAGGTTTGGATTCCCAAGAGCTATCGTGAGTGACGGAGGCAAACATTTTTGCAACCGTGTATTTGCGAAATTGATGAAAAAATACGCCATATCACACAAAGTTGCGACACCATACCATCCTCAGACATCCGGCCAAGCAGAGACGAGCAACAAGCAAATCAAGACTATTCTCGAGAAAACGGTGAATTCGTCCCGGAAGGATTGGTCCCGGCGACTCGATGATGCGCTGTGGGCTCAACGGACTGCATACAAAGGGGTGTTGGGAATGAGTCCTTTTCGGCTCGTTTACGGAAAGGCGTGCCACCTCCCGGTTGAGATCGAACACAAAGCATTTTGGGCGATAAAGAAGATGAACTTTGACCTTGATACCTCCGGAAAAGAACGACTGTTGCAGCTCTCGGAACTTGAGGAATTGAGGAACGAGGCATATGAGAATTCGAAGATTTACAAGGACAAGGTCAAACGACTACACGACGCTCGCATTGTTCGAAAGGAATTAGCACCGGGTATGCAAGTTCTACTTTTTAACTCCCGACTTCGTCTATTTCCGGGAAAACTTAAGTCCCGGTGGAGTGGCCCGTTTATTATCGATGAAGTCCTATCTTTCGGAGCAGTTCGACTCCGAAATTCATCTACCGGTGAGTTATTTGTTGTCAACGGACAAAGGATAAAGCCATATATTGGAGGAGAAATCGGGAAGAAGCATGTCGAGACCGTCAATCTCGGCGAACCACAGTACGATTGATCGTTACAATGCCGAGCTCTAGGCAATAAACCGAGCACTTTTGTATATATTATTATAAAAAAAAAAAAAAATAAGATCCCGAATCATCGTGATGTGTTAAAGAAAATACCGGCCCATGCACGATTCTTCAAGAAAGTTGCCACGAACAAGAAAAGGTCCGACAGTGACGGGGATGTGATAATCTGTGAGGCAGAGAGTGTTTTGCATCATCTCTTGCCAAAGAAAGAAATAGATCCTGGAGGCTTCGTGATCAACATTGCCTTCGGGAATGAGAAAGAGGCTTTGGGAATGCTCGATCTTGGAGCGGGCATAAATCTCATGCCACTATTTGTTTATCGACAGTTCGAGCTTAAGGGTTTGAAGCCTACATCCATCCTCCACCAGAACAACCCGACGCACAGTTATTTATCACTGTGCTTAGTACGTTTTTCTTTCTTTTTCTCTTTTATTTTGTACAATTTGTTTTAGTCGGTTAGTTATACTCTCTTGCACCGCGAATCGACAATGGGGACATTGTATGATTTTAAGTGTGGGGGAGTTTTACGTGAATATGTGGTTAACCATGTTTTCACGTAAGCACGAAAAAAAAAAAAAAAAAAAAAAAGGAAAAAAGAAAAAAAATATATATATAAAAAAAAAACAGAAAAAAAAATTAAAAAAAAAAATTGTTTGAATTGTTTTGTTTAAGTTTTTATCTTTGTTCGGGACGAACAAAGAATTAAGTGTGGGGGAGTTGTTAGTGTTATTTTTGTTATGTTTTTATTAATGTTTTTTATTATTATTTTTATGTATTTTTAGTAAGTTTGTGGGATTTTGGGTAGTTTTTAGTTTTATTTAGTAATTTGTAATATTTAAGTATTTGTGTGGAATTTTGTATATTTTTCTTGTATTTTTCGAGTATTTGTAAAATAAAGGAACGGTCGAAAATCTCGGAAGAGCAGGATTTTGGAAAGTTATTGAGCATGATCACATTAATGGAAAGAGGAGCTTGTTAGCTACACACAGGAAAAAGCGGAACTCGATTTCGAGTTCGGATGAGTTCGTACGGAACCGAAGAGTAAAATCGAGCGAGTTGCCGACACCTTGGAAGTTAAAAATCCTTAGATAATTGTATTCTGGGTGAAATTTGTATTGGCATACATCATTGAATAGAGGGGTTCGTTAGCAACGCGTAGAAAAAAACGGAACTCAATTCCGAGTTCGGACGAGCCCAAAACGAGCCCGAGAAGCAGAGCTGCCCGAGACGTGCGCGAATGCGCGCGGAAAAATTCATTCTCGGATTTTGTCCGAAAATTCCAACCTTTCTCTCATTTTTCCTATCTTCTTTGACCTTTTCTTGCATTTTTCTTGGTGGTTGAATTATTGTTGAACTTTGGTTGATGTTAGTTGATGTTAGTATGCTATTTATATCTATAAATAGCAACATTATCATCAAACAAAAGGGGGAGGAAAAAGAAAAGGGAATTTTTCCATATCATTTTATCTTTCCACATTTCTATTTTTACTACATTTGTAAGTTTGAATTTGTAAGATTAAATTGTTGAAGATTGTTGAAGTTTGGACATTAAGTTTGCACTTGCTCTAGCTTGTGGATTACTAGTAAGTTTTCTTTTTATTTTATGTTTATAATGGTTTATTTACATAAGAATTTGTATGTTAAAATTACTATGAGTAACTAATTTCCTAACTAGGGTTAGGGGATAATCGTTTCGGTTTATTATCGTTTATAAGTATTTTTATTGCTCAATCTTTACAAATTTTATTAATATTATGGTTAAATGTTTGATCACCATTTTAATCTACATAATCGATTTCATAACCGAAAGGGGCGAAGTTGATAGAACTTGATTTGTTTAGAATAGACATGTTCGGAAACGTATTGTTTATGTGTTAACCGTTCCACTAATTCATTTATTTAAGTTTATTCGTATATTACGAGAGTTAGTACGGATAAACCTCTAGATGAGTAAATTAAGTGAATCGTTTAACTGAGTAATTTAATTACCGATAAATGTTAATAAAACAGGAATTGATTATCCCCAATACCCTAGACTTTTACATTTATTAAAACTTATCTTTGTCATTTTAGCTATTCTCTTTTCTTCCTTAAAACTTTATAGTTTGAAAGTATTTAACTAGTAGAACAATTTATTTGTTTGAAAGTTTTTACTAGTAGAACAACTTATAGTTTGAAAGTATTTAACTAGTAGAACAATTTATTTGTTTGAAAGTTTTTACTAGTAGAACAAATTTTAGTTTGAAAGTATTTACGAGTAAAACGATTTTATCGTTAGAAAGTATTTACTAGTAAAACGACTTTATCATTTGAAAGGTTTTCAGAGTAAAATGATAGCATTTATGTTACTTTTAATTTAGTTTAAATCCCCATTATTAAATTGAATTAGAATGTTTAGGAATATTTTCTCTTTTGTGAATTGAATAAACATACAATTTAATCCGGCTAACCTTCCTTAGAGAACGATCCGAGTCGGGTAACTCGGTTATTACTTGCCCAAAAATATTACCAACAATGGGCTCCCCAAGTATGGGCATAACTGTGGGCCAATCCCAGACACTCATACTTGAATAATATTAAACGACACTATAATAATATTATTGAACTCCTCATTTAGTTCCCAAATTACAAATAATTAGTTCTCGGCTAATTACTCGAATTACCTCCCTATGTTTAAGATATAACTTCCGTTGATTAATTTAATTACTAAAAATTTATTAATCAACATCTACATCTAAAACTAGTACCACTCAATTGATTCTTATTATGTCGGAAATAAATTGCGCCTACAGGGCTTAACATGTTAAACCTTCATAAGCACATTTGGAGACGTCGTCAACTCGGAAAACCAGGACACGGTTACCATAAGTAATCCCTACAACACATCATATACTCGGTCCTTGCTTACCAAAATACGGAGTCTGTCGACCTATTGGAATAAGCCTCACCTTTGGTAAATCATATACGTAGATTTCGGATACATATGCCTATTTATATTATCTTAGGGGTTAAGAGAATGCAACAATTACTGAAGTCTAGATTATCTACTTGGTCAGTACAGAATAATCTTATCCTTCGTACACGACAAGAAATAACACATGTAGTAATGAAAATATTAGTGATAGTACAAATATCGTCACTGAAAATATGTATATTGTGACGATTTTATCCGTTGTCACTATACTTCGAGAGTGATGAATATTAGTGATAATTTTGATTATTGTCACTACACATTGTCACTAGAAATTTAGTGACATTTATTCGCGTTGGTAGAAAAAAAAAAAAATTGTCACAATTGTTACTTCAAATAGTGACGATAACTAAGATCATGACTAAATCTAAAATAAATAATGTGACATATATTTCATGTCACTATAAATGGTTGTGTTAAGATATAAGGACAAATTTTTTTATTGTCACTATATTTCATCACTAAAGATATCTTGTCAATTTTTTGAGTTATAAAACTCATCACAATTATAATGATATGTTTTTATGACAATTAATTAATGTCACAAAAAGTTATTGTAAAAGAGAACATAATATTTATTTACTATTATGTTTTTGAGAGTTCAATTAAAGACATCCAACTCTCTAAAGAATAATCAGACTAATTTGTGACTGCATATTATTTTACTTAGTAAGATAAATATTGCAACATAATATGCTATTCATTTCAAATTTATATTCTAAAGAATTATACAGATTATTTTACTTAGTAAGATAAATATTGCAACATAATATGCTATTCATTTCAATTTTATATTCTAAAGAATTATAGAGGAAATTCTTGCAGTTAAACTCTCGCCTTCGATTCTACCTCGTATCCCTTGAGAAATTGTTGTAATAATATAGGTAAGTGGTAATATCATAAAATAGTCATGTGAATTTAAAAAATAAAAAATAATGGCCACATTTTTTTTTTCAAAAGACGAATCTAACCATTTCATTATGTAGAAATATCAATTTGCCTCAACTCAAATTTCACTTGAATTTTTTTTTCTTTCCCCCTCAAATTTTCATCTTCCCAGTCTTTCACTCGGTATTTTTTTTTCCTTTCCCCCCAAATTTTCCACTTCTCCGTTCGCTGTTCCATTCAAAAAATTCAACCTCCCCGGCGATTCACTGCTCCGTTCTCGCCCGGTTCTTCTGTCGAATTTTCCACTTCCCTGTGTTCGTTGCTTCGCGCCCGCTGCTCCGTCCGTCTGGCGAATCAGTCGGCAATTGACCCCGGAAACTCGACCTCCGTTCGCTCCTCATCCGGCTATCGGTCGACGCCGGCTTTCCGAGTCCACTGGACCAAAATTCCTCACCAATCGCTTTTTTTACACCTCCATGGCCGAAACCCTTTAAATCCATTCCCAGGCTCGAGCCCAATCCTAGCCTGAATAGGGTGCAAGAAGATGTTCACAGGTAATTATATATGTTGTTTGCTATCTGATTTCATAATGTTTTCTACATGTCCGTATTAATTTCGTTTTTTACTATCAATCCAATTTATCTATATTATATGCAAGGTAGCTGAAGAGTTGTTAGGTCCAATGATTTTAGGATTTTAAGTTACTTGAAACTAAAAAGTATGATATGTTAACTAGTTGACTGGAATTCGGCATAGTTTAATCTTACGGTTTTTTGATATCCGATAATGTAGATGGATTTTCTGGACCATCCAAAAGCTGCACAGATAATGATTTGGATGATCTAGTTGAGAACAACTTGCCAAGCTCGTCAGCCAAGAAAGAAAGTAAGTTGGCAATGGCTGAAATCAACAAACTGTTCGCGAAGCCGATGGATCTCTAAGAATATTGTGAGTGACACTTTTCTAGTTTTCCTTTAGATCTTGGAATCAGCTTTCTTTGTATTAAAAAGAAGTTTATGTAGCCTGCTCTGTCGATCATAGATGGTTAATGGTCAATGAGTATTAATCGTTTAATGCGTTATCGTTGTTAGGCTCAATGGCTTAAGATTCTTTATAATCCTATATAGTTTATAATCTTAATGTAGCTGCAGTAAAGTACTTAACTGATGAAAAATCAAGAATTCAATTTATGAATGATCATGTACCTTACAGACTGAATGTTACCTTAAAAACACAAAGAGCTCTAACAAGAAGTTTAAATCGAATTTAAAGGCTGATGGAGTACCATGCTGTTAAACTGAAAGTAACAACAGGCAGCTCAGACTTGTACTTCCTTAGGAACACAATGAGCTGGCCGAAAAGGCAATGGGCCTGCAGCATACACGAAGGCCTCGTAATTGGGCCCGACAATCCTCTTGCCCTCATAACAAAGTGGGGCCCCATAGAGGTTGTAATTCACATTCGTTAGAAGGTTACACATCTTGAGAGGTGAGGACACTAGCTTGACCTTGCATGACTGCAGGGGATGGTTCAGGAAAGAGTGGCCCATCTTAAAACCCTTGAGCTGCCCGTAAAAGTACCCATTTTTGTCGGTCTCGAATGCCTTGTAGTAGCTGATTCGATTCCTGTGGTCCTTGCAGCCGATGCTTACCGTAGTAGTCTAGATGGGATTGTCTCCGTCAACAGCCCAAGTCCCGTATTTTCATGCGAAAAATATTGTGCTTGAACATATGTGATAACTGAATTATTATTTTTGCTTTTGATAAGACACCAAATTAGACACGACCAGGGCATGCAGTAATGTGTGTGATAGGTACTTCATCTTTATCTAAACCAAGGTGATCAATTTTTCATGGTTAGTTATTGATAAACTGAAGATGTAATTGTCTTACGCAAGTATATGTGTTATAACATTGGTACTTGATAGGTACTTCATCTTTATCTAAACCAAGGTGATCAATTTTTCATGGTTAGTTATTGATAAACTGAAGATGTAATTGTCTTACGCAAGTATATGTGTTATAACATTGGTACTTGAGTTGCCATTTTGCTGGATAAATAAATTTCATTAGTGTTCTCATAAATACTTATAGAATATTGTTTTGTAGAATTATAACTATATTCAGGTTTCTTAGGCATTTATAAGTATGGGATTGTGGATTAGTTGTAGTTCATTTTTCTTAAGCTTATTCAGTTCATATGGATAATTGATATGGGATATTATATAACTAAAGAATAGACCGATCTACCACATCGATCGGGCCAGCTCGAAGTAGAAAAAACCGCATTGGTCGAAAGATGATCGACCAAAAGGGAAGAGATCAAGCAGAATAGTAGAACTGGTCGAGGGTCGACCTAGCGATAGGGGCTCGATCAGATCGAGCACCCAACAAGTGAAGAGCAGTCGAGAGCGTGGCTTGAATGCGAGAAAGCGCGTGGGTGGCGTTAGAAGATCCTAACGGCATGCGTAGAAGAATAATCTCCCTCCACTCAGAGGGACACGTGGCGAAAATACATTGGTGCAGAGCAATAATGGTGATAACCACCTCTAACATCTCTGACACACGCACACTGTGTGTGTACGGACGGACAACGCGGGTAAGACAGCTCACCAAGATCCGAGCAGCTCCTAGGGCAGGTATCTCACTCCTCTATATATAAGAGTGGGTCTTTCTGGTGACTTACGATTTATCCATTCTTTACTTTGGAAAATTGAGCAAACACATACTGACTTAAGCATCGGAGGTTCTTCACCGGAAAACCCCTCCGGTGTGAGAGTTCTGTGCAGGTGCGCGGCGTTCTACCGGCAAGGAAGAGGAAGGTGAACCGATTTCAAGCCGGTCGGAGTGTTTTGCGTTACCAGATAATTATCTTTCAGAATTAATGCCATGCACCCAATGGCCAAGACAATCACACGTAATTTCTAAAGTTGAGACAAATAATTATCTTCTACATTTTCTTTTATTTTTTTGGTGATTGTGGTTTCTTGTCTGATGAATATTTCAGATGTATTAGTTTACTCGTTCTATTATAATTTTGTTATATTTCAAAAAATGTAGGTATTTAATATCTTTATGGTATGAAATTTTAAGTGGATATTCATTTTATAAACATTAAGAGGCAGTAGATGCTACATTACTTGAGCTTGATTGTCTTCGTATGATGGCAATTTTTAATTATAATGAGTATAATGATGGGGGGTTCCTCATGCATGAATATGTGATATTAATATGTATGAGTATGTATATTGTCTAAAACATGACCTTTGTTCAAAATGATATTGTCAGAAACTGAAAGCTAAGCTTTTAAAGTATATCCTAACATGCGAGTCGTAGACTATGCGAAAATACATCGCATAACATAAATATGCAACGTTCAATTTGGATATACGATAACATAATATGCAAAATTTATTGCATATGGTAAATTATGCGGTGGATATGGATATGCGAGTCGTACACTTGCAAAAATGCATCGCATAGCATAAAGGCTAAAGTACACCACTACGAGACTTGGAGGATGAAATAAAAATTGTACGAGATAAAGATTGACTAAGACACATCTGTATTCCTTTCAAAAAGCAGTTTCGTATAATTCCAATTCTTGGCTTCAAATATATTTTCTATCTATTTCAAATCTAGCGATCTTTTCTTCTATAATTTTCTTTTAGATTATTTTCAGTTTACCATATGTTTATTACATTATCTATATACTTTATTAAAAATAACGATATTGTCTTCTATAATTTTCTTTTAGATTATTTCAGTTTATCTTACGTTTATTACATTATCTATATAATATATTAAAAAAAATTAAAACTTCTAGTTATTCTTAAGTTTATTATCTAATTCATAATTATAACTAAATGCCACAGAAATAAATAGACAACAAAATTAATTAAAAAAATAAACTGAATATAAACTACAAATAAACAAAAAAAAAACTTAATTAATAACCATATAATCATATCTTTGATTACAGATAAACAATCAAATTAACTTTCAAAATCATTCAAAACACAAATATATCACATAGTAAGCACACACACAATCAACGATCACCAATTGGCACAACAACGCGACAATAGCCTTCAAATTCTCTACATCAAAATTTAGAGAAAAAATTGCAAGACCTGAGTCACATTTGCTATTCTCTTATAAAATTCAAAGAAAAATTCCCTTCGGATTCTCTACATCAAAATTCATAGAAAGAAAATATTATTAACAATAATTCAAAACCCTAATTTTCTCAAATCACTCACCAAAATTCCTCTAATTTCTTCATCTCGATGGAGAATTAGACCTAATAGTCCCACCGCCGACACGGCGATGTCGCGACCTTCGACTCCCCCCAACCAATCTACTCTACGACCTTATCCACCGCCGACTACCGCCGTATTTTCGTCGGTGACTTCCTCGAGGAGCTCGAGAACCGCGTCAACGTCTTGACCTTATCCAACGACGGTGGTGGCAGCGAGAACAGCAATGAACCGAACTTTATCTCTGGCGAGAAGAGCAATTTCGAGGTGCCCGTGGTGTACGGCGGAGGCCGGAGGATCTCTGGACGGTGGAAAATAGGGTCTGCACGGCCATGACAACTGCAATGTCGAGGATTTAGATTGGATCAAGCAAATTGCGTCTGAACGGGAGAGAGAAATCAAGGTTTTGAAGAAACGTTGTGGGGGAGGAGGAAACGAAGGTGAAGAAGGATGGTGAATTTAGATCGAAGTTTTTTTAAGGAGAGGATAAAAGCCAGAGAAACTACATTTGGTTTCTAAGATGCTTTGGGGTTTGGGAGGAGAGAATGAAGTGGTGTTCGTCACGTCTGGAATGAAAATAATTAGGAAGTCGTATTTTTGAAGCAAATAACATAAAAGTGGATTGAAAATTTTAAATTCGTACTTTGGGATATAAAAAGATATAGCATCGTTTAGGGGGTAATTTTCTCTATCATAAAATATGCAACATTCGATTTGGATATGCGATAACAGAATATGCAAAAAAGTTATCGCATATGGTGGATTTGGATATGCGAATCATATACTATGTAAAAATACGTCGCATAACATAAAACATGCGTAGTTCAATTTGGATATGCGACACTGGACCAAGAGCCGAAGCGCGTGAGCACGCCTTCCGTCAGTAGATCCATGTTGTTGTTCTTTCCTCCTAGTGGTGGAACTGATCATCAAAATCAAAAAGAAGAAAAGAAGGGTTGATGTAATTAAGGCTCGACTGAAAGAAGATCAAAGTGAGGGAACGAAGTAGGCTTAACCAAAGAGAGAGGAGAGATGCAATTGGCGACCATAGGGATTGACAAGTCGAATCAAGCAAAGGTCCTCTAACATTAGCTGCTTTCCTGGGACTTGCAGTTGCTTCTTTTAGAGAAAGCTTGGTTCTATTTATGCTAATTCCATCCACTTGGCCATGTGTAACGCCCATTTATTTATTTAAAGGAAACATGAATTTTTAGAAAAATTTAAACTTTTAAAAATTCATTTATCCAATTTAAACTAAACGGACATTACTCGAAATCTCTTCCTTCTACCCAATCATTCAAAACATGAATAAAACGTTTCAAACAAACACATTTCAATTTAATAAAACAAAAATTTAAACATTCAAATGACATTAATTTTCAACAGAGTTTGCGAAAATATAAAACATAATTAAAATAGACCATGCCCATCCTCTCGTGTCCGCCGCCAGCTCGATCAACCTGAAAAACAAAAGGGTGAGCACATCTTCTAGACTCAGTGGTAAAATTCATACTATGCATCAATTCAACATAAACACAGATAGGACAATAATCATATGAACATGCAAAGTCCACTGTCTCACTTATGTACTGATAACAACCCGGCCTCAAGCCCCAGGTAGACCCTGCTAATCAACTCTTATTTCAAGTCCCCAGAATCCACACGGCTAATGAGCTATTATACGTCGTTAACTAAGTTCATGAACGTTGATTTATAACATATCATTACCCGACTTATTAACTCTTACTTCAAGCCCCCCAGGTAATTTCTCTAACTGATAATTACCCAGCTGATTGACTATTATTTCAAGCCCCTAGGTAAATTCTCCCAAGCACATTCGGGCCCACCGACCCACAATCACATGCATATATAAACTATACTAACACATGTTTATACAGAATAAATGAGTGAAATGAGTGAATTCATGTGCGTCTCTCTGGTCTAAAGTTGGAAAGTCAATGGCTCGACTCCTCTTAATCCAGTGATTAAAATAGCATGCTATGGCGAGGCGGGGCTTTGACGCCTCATAGCGGCCTTGTGAAAGGCGTCGCCTCGGATGTAGCGTAGCGTAGCGCGAGGCGACGCCTTATGAAAGTGCGGCGAGGCAGTGCAGTTTAGGTATTTTTATACATAGGATTTCATTAACGGGAGATTAAAACTTATCAATTAACAAAAATTACTTACCAAACTACAAAATTACCATGTGCCTTTTGTTCCACCGGCGACGACAACCAGATTCCGGCAGCTAACCGGCGACGGCGAGCGGTATATGTTCCGGTTTTTCCTTTTCTTATTCTTTTTCTTTTTTCCTTTCTTGCTTCAGTCATTCTTCACCACGACAATAGTGCCTTTTGTGTAAGTCTCCGGCTGCTAAACTTTCGTCGTCGGCGGCCGGCGGTGCTAGCTTGCCGGGATGAAAAGCGAACAAGGGGGGCTGGGCTTAACCTTTTTTTCTTATCTTATTATTTATTTTGTTTATTTATGAATATGGAGCATTAACTTGTTTTTTAATGAATAGTAGACATTACATTATTATTTTAATTGCAAATTTGGCAGAATGTGGGATTGGGGTGGGTTGATGTTTATTTTAGTTGGGATCATGTGGGTTGATGCTATTTCTATTTCTAGTTTGTTTGATGTTGTTTTTATTTTAATGTGTGGTGTTTTGTTGCATGTTTATTAGCTATTATAATTTATTTTTATATACATAACTGTGTCATAATTTGATAAAATGTCACATATACATATATTTCTATTTTTTGTATAATGGCTCGCCACGTTTTCATAAGGCGGGCGCCTAGCCGCACGCCTCACTCCATGGTAAATCGGATCCTTGTCGCCTCGGCTCGCCACGCGCTATTTTAGTCATTGTCTTAATTAAATTTAAATAATTTCTCTTATTACTAAAGGTGAAAACAGGCAAGGACAGACAANAGCAAATAAAACAGATAAAACTTCTACTAAAACTTGTCGACTTATCTAGACTCGCATAGAGTTCTCGGAATTCCTAACTTAGGCTCGAAAATCCAATATTCTAGACTAGCTTGAACCGGCGGGTCCGTGCCCGGTCAGACCCGGTTCGGTTCGCCGGACCACTTGGGTCGACATAAAGACAGATCCCAAATAAATTCACTACAAGTGTCATTATACTAACAAGTAATAAAAATCAACCATAAAGGAAATTAGTTACCAATTAAGGTTACAAAATCATAATAAAAAACCCAACACCAGACATAAAAGAGTGTACTCATAACCAAACCATAAACAGGTTGATACAAAATTCACTATCCTCACCAATAAGCAAGCACATGTCAGAAATCTACCTTATGGAAAATCATTTGCCAATTGATGTCATGACATATTTAAAAACAAAGCACCATAAATCTATATATATATATATATATATATATATGTATGTATATATATAGGGATTGGTTCCAATGAGGACACGTTCTTAAGATGAGGACATGAGACTCAATCCTAGCCACTAAAAGGGTATCAAGATATGTGACCAAGATTTAAATCTTTATTTAAGTAATAATAATTTTTTATTTTATTTATTTTAGTTATTTAAATATTATTTTGACTATTGACTGTTGACTTCCGGTGAAAATAGTTGACTTCCGGCGTTGACCCGTTGACCATAATATGTATTGTGTATGAAGTAAATATGGTGAGACAAAGTTAGTGTAAATATGTTGCAAAATTAGTTCTATCTTGTTGTAAGGTTAGTTATTTTTATTTGCAATGTTTAGTTGTATTCAGTTTGCAAGGTTAGTTGTCTGTAGTTGCAAGGTTAGTTGTCTTTAGTTGCAAGGTTAGTTATCTGTAGTTGCAAGGTTAGTTCTGTCTAGTTGCAATGTTAGTTTTCTCTAGTTGCCAGGTTAGTTGTCTGTAGTTGCAAAGTTAGTTCTATCTTGTTGCAGGGTTAGTTGTTTTTATTTGCAATGTTTAGTTGTATTCAGTTTGCAAGGTTAGTTGTCTTTAGTTGCAAGGTTAGTTGTCTTTGAATGAAAGGTTAGTTATGTGTAGTTGCAAGGTTAGTTCTGTCTAGTTGCAATGTTAGTTGTCTGTAGTTGCAAGGAGTTGTCCTCATTTTAAGAGTTGTTCTCATTTGATCCGCCCCCTATATATATATATATATATATATATATATATTACGTATAATTGCTGGCAGAACAATAAATAATACCTAATTAATGAAACCTTCACTAATTTTCTGCTCATTTTTTCAATTAATGTAGAAACGTTACATTTTACATTAATAAGGTGTAATGACAATTTATACTAGCTTATTACATAATATTACTACTAATACTAATTGATTATAATTTTACATTGAATAGTATCTGGAAGCTACATACTTTTTTAAAAAAAAAAAATATTGCAATTTTTTTCTTTAAAACACTTTTTCAACAATAAAATATTTTTTTGTCTTTTTAAGCGATTTTTATCTAGTATTAGTTAATTGGAATGAGTATCATAATTAAACACCTTAAAATCGCATAAACAATTGCTATAACAATAATAAAAATAAATGTAATACTTTTCTAACTAATTAATTGCATGGTACCTCTAAATTACAAAATTATATTGTCCATATGGCATCAATATAAAGATTCATACGTAGGTTAAATAATTTATATTTACATCATACATTTGCATATAGTCAAAACTTAAAATGTAATACATCAATTATCATTATAAAAATTTAAATATGGTATACATACATATAATATACAAATTTTTATTTTTCTTTGTGCATGTGCACATGATGAATACTAGTATAAATATAAGATTGTACCTACTGTGACCAAAACCGCGTACAAACTCCTTTTAAAGGCTCGGTAAATTGATATTAAAAGGGCAAACTACAACATGCCAATAAACTCTTAATATCACATACATCTTGGCCCCGTTTACTTTAATGAATGGGATAGGCCAAAAACAATCCTGGAACCTTTACACCTCAGCATTTAATCTAATGTTTACTTTGTGAGATAGAATTTTGATAAAAGAATCCCTCAATTACTTTACATGATTAATTGAGATGCTCCAAACTAAAATACCACTTTACCCTTTCCCCCCTTTCCTCACTCTATTTCCTCTTCTTGCCCTAATTCATTCGACGAGAACGCAGGACTAGATGAAAATTCAAAAACCCTTCTTCCAAGGACGACGAGGGCACCGACGAGTCGTGTTCGGACATCGACTACGTGATTCGGAGGACGACGAGGTTAGTCCTAACACCGGCGACAAGTGTGGGCTACCTGCGGTGGTCGAAACTTACTCCGACGAGCACGCGTGAAATTGGATTTATGGGCTTGTATAGGTAATATAAAGTAGTTTATATTATTGGAATAAGTATGCTTTTGTGGCTTGAAATATAGTTCTCGTGTGGGCTTTTGGTCTAATTAGGATTGGTGGCCGAGGTCCACAGACCAAGTTGCATTCCGACAAAATCAGACTGCCGAGATTGCATTCCGACGACATACGACCGTCAAGTACGAGGACGACATTGAGACGACGACAGTCGAGTTCATAGGAGGACTTGGGACCGAGAACGACTTGAGCACATTTGGGTTGTGGGTTTCATTTAGGTATTTCAATTTACAGTTTATTAAATGAGGAATCGAATGTGAACGGTTGATTTTCATGGTTGTATGACAATTTAGCCTGTTATGTTAGATTTGTGTTTAGGAAGTTGTTTGTGTGCCATTTTTCCGGTCTTTATTTCACTTTCTCATCTTACATTACTTACAAATGTGAATAGGGTAAGCACAATTTGAGTGTTTATATATGGTTGATCAGTTGAATATATGGTTTGAATCTCAAATAATGAGTTATGAATTTGGCATCACTGAGGTTTTAAATTTGTTAATTGTATGGTTTTATGGATATGAAGCTGAGTTCTCATACTTAGTATGGATATGATGGCTTTTGCATAAATTTAATTGTTGAATGATGGCTTTTGCATATAAAGCTCCTTTGCCATTGCTTTAAGGTTTAGATCACACCTATGCTTTCTTAATACATGTGGAACTACAAACTGTGTCTGAAAAGATGGAAGCTAAGTTTGCATTTTATTTTCATTAGAATTGCAACTTAATGGTGTGTTGTGCTTTGAGATTTGAGGCAATTCTGTTATTTTGTGAAATTATCAATGGTCTGAAATGGTTCTTTGTGCCTTTTTAAATTTGAAGTTTGTTGAGGCTTGACTATGTAGTTTAAATGCTATGGTTTCGTGCTTATATCAACGAATGATATGTTTAGTTGCGAGGCCTAAGGATTGTGCTAAGATTTGGTTTACACGTCGTATTATTTCAACAGATGAAGACCTTTAATTTTCACTTTTTCAGGCGAGTACCATGTCAGAGGGTTCAAACACGAGTTCAAGCAATCGATATTACAGATCCTCCAACAATATTCCGATGGAGGTCAGGCTATGTGAGCATGGCGAGGAATGCGATGTGTTCACATCAATGACCAATGAAAACCCAGCTCGAAGGCTCTTCAAATATCCTCGGTGGAAGGTAAAGTTTTGATAACCCTTTGTGATAACTTTTTACGTTAACTTTTGCCTCTTTGTTGTTTGGATTTACGATAGTTGAATGCTGCTTGTACCATGTTTGTTTGGATTGATCCCGAGTTGCCGTCGTTCCAAAAAAGTTGTTTTAACAAGCTTAAGGCTGAAAAGGGTCAGCTGCATGAGTAATTAAAGAGCAAAAATGAAATAGAGAAACTGCTATCTGTGAGGCTTCAGTTAAAAGGTGCCGAGATAAAAGCATTGGAAGATGAGAAGAATGAGTTGGTGAAGAAATTTTAGATTGAAGCAAAAAAAAAAAAATGTTGAACTGAAGTTTAGACTTGGTGATGTCGCCCTAAAGCTCGAAGTTTGGAGAGGAAGGTCACATATATGAAATCTACATTTTGGTTTATTGTTTGCTTTGTTTCACTGTATTGTTTTTTAAGTAAAGTTGGATAGAATGAACTATGATGTTGTGCTTTACTTCAGGTCCACTTTTGTTTTGTATAATAACTGATATTTTGTGAAACTTTTTTATGTGTTTAATTAATGATGGCTTATCATGCATAATTGTATTGTACTATCATCTTTTCCAATTTAAATTAATTACATGCATTATTGGTGAAAAGGGCTTAATGTCATTGTCGTGATCTCTATGGTCAAAAGATTTATATTTGATATGATGTGGTATGACAGCTCATTGCAGGTCTATAGGTGACTTAAGCTTTTCTTCAAAGGTGAGTTGATTGGACTGGATTAGCTAAAATAATTGAGTTTTTGAAATTTACATGTTATGACAATTAAATGATCAAAAAAGTCCGAAATGAAATGATATGCTATGACTGTTCAGTGCATGTATAGACATGGGTTCCCGCTTTTCTGCAAACTTCAAGCAGCTTTGCTGCAAACTTGAACCAGCTTTTCTGAGCAATGGCTTGATCATATTTTCTTAATTAAATTTAATTTCATGCATTAGTGGCAGTTTTCCTTGTAGAATATCCATTTAAGCCGAAAAAATTTCTTACAATAAAAAAGTACAATAAAAAAGACGTTAATGCATTAAAATTACCAAAACTTAACTTGTTTGGAAATAATTATTTCTGAGGATGGTAATAGAAATTGCACCGAAATTGGTATCTCGTGGAATCAGACAAGGAAAGTTATGAAATATGTGTTTTGAATTGACAGGACATGTGTACAAATGCAGTTCAATGCAAGTCTAAGGCTAGGGTTCAACTTTTCTCCAATTTAAATAACGCATTATTGGTCATTTGGATTTAAATTTTTGTATTTAATCACATTAATGCAGACCCAAAAAATTAAAAAATATAAAACCTTTACATAGAGGTTACGTGTTTTATTGAAAGAGCATGCGCACAACACTAAAGTGGCCAATCAAGTGATCTTTTTGGTCAAAAAATTCAGATTCGAAGGGATAAGCTATGACAAGTCACTACCATGTCTAGAGGTAGGTATAAGCTTTTTCTGCAAAGCTTAATTGATTAGACAAAATGGACATGAAGACTATAATTTTTGCCTTACATCCTTGAATGCATGATTGATCTTCGTGCATGAAATTTTGCTATTTATACACCATAATGCAGAACAAGTATTCCACATACGTAGAATGAAGTACTCAAATATTACTGAACTTATAAAAATTAAGAATTTTTATAAGTCATAAAATTGCGATGGCTCCTAATTTGGCGTAATGCAGGCCGATTATCTGTATGACCTACATTGGACACCAAAGTTTGATGAGTTTCTAATCGACTATTTACTTGAAAATAAGTTGTGTGGTATCTTTGTTCCTTCTGCAGATAATAGTGAGTCCATACTTGGTGCTACGCAAACATTCAATGCGTGGTTTGGCAAGAGTTTCACGATGGAGTACATCGGAACCCGCGTTAGAATTTTGACGAAACGACATGATGTTTTCACAGCGCTGAAAGACAAGGATGGTGTTCAATACGACGTCGGCCAGAACAAGTACCATGCTTCGGACAGCACTTGGCATGAAATGCTAAGGGTAAGTTTTCTCAATGATTTGTGTTTTCCTTTGTTACACCAATGTTAGAGTTGCAAACTAAATTATATTTTTTTTTTCACATAGTGGGATGAATTTTCGTTCGCGTACATGACGGAAGGTGATCTCCAGCATAACAAAATTGTGGAGTTGTTTCACGTGGAGCCACCGTGCGTATCTCCTTTCGAGTGGTGTATTTTGTCTGACAGCGACACTGAAGGCAATAGGAATGCAAATAAGGGTCGTGACAAAGATGTTGAAGTTATAAATGTGGAGGAGTACACTCCAAAGCGTGGGCCACCGAGTAGGTTAGTGTCCTACCCTGTTTGAACGGACATCCCCCGTAAGAAACAGCCATCGTGTCCGATCTTTTATATGGGTAGCAGTTCGAAGGCCCCAAAACAGAAGCAATCCATACGCAGTCAAGCTGGGTCAACTGATGGGTCCGTGAATCAGCCAAGAAACGACAACTCCTCTCACGGTGCACATGAACCAGAAGAAAATTCACTGTCCACTGCATGTTTTGCCTCTCCTATGGATTACACACATGATTGGCCGTGGAATTAGCTTCGTCACTAGGTCATTCCTTTTATGTTTGTTCTTGTTTAGGTGGTGTATGACTGTTAGTTGTGTGCGCTGGTTTGTTTCATGGTTGTTTAATATGTTTGTTCTTGTTTCGGTGTTGTACTAATATGTTACTACATGTTCCTCTTGCAGGTTCTGTAGTTGTCCCACCACCTATGTTTTGTGGTGTTATGCGTATCATCTCTAAAGCGTAGCAAGTTGTGTTTGTATTATTTATTAGGTCTGGGTTTCTGTATGGTTGTGAAGGCTATCAAGACATTATCTACGTTTCTTGTTTTGTGTACCATGTATGGGTTCCGTACCATGTTTAATTAACATAAATGTTATGTCATCATGTTTAATTAACATACATGTTTAATTAACCTAATGTGGAGTGCGGAAGATGATAGTAAACATAAAGTGTCTCAATAAACATAAAAACCTGATAACGCACAAGTCTTACATAATGTCCCATCAAAGATAAATAATGATAACAAAAAAGTGTTAAAATGTTTGTCGGTCACATACATGCTACACACAAATTTCTACCACTCTAAATACCTAAACGGAATCAATGTCAAGACCCACTCAGAATCCTCCACAACGCCATTGTCTTCAAAGAATTGGCGCATATCGCCATCTTTCGACCGCCTCTTACCATGAGATCGGTCTATAGGCATCGAATATTTGTCCCCCTTGAACATAAGCACTGCAATGTCTATCTCTGGAATCTGTCCTTCAATATGTGCGTTCCAAAATTGCATTGGTCTTGGCATCAAAACAATAAACAAAAAAATAATATTAAATAAGATAACATTTTAATATGTAAGAACAATGTAAACGAAAAAATCTCTAATATCATGAAATCAATGACTTACCAACAGTGCACGCTCGAGATGAGTGTTTTGTGTTTTTAATTTTGATGCAAAATCGGTGCGGTGGAGGCCTCTCAATATCATTAGCCGTATAGACCTTCACATTAAACGTTCTGAAATCATCTCGTTCAAAATAGATGAAGTACTCGTTACGTATATCCTCTGATTGAACATAATATTGCCACCCATTGGCAAAATGCAAATTAATCCTCAAGTCGTGGGCACTATACGGAAGCTTGCAAATGTCCATTGGGTAGCGACGACCTTCGACAATTATGATAGTAACTGGAAAAGGCATTACGTGTCCCCCGAAATAAACATTCACAGCAAAATTCTCCTATCAAAGTGAAAATGTCGTGTTTAATTTGATAATAACTTGAATAATGCTTGAATTTTCAAAGTAAGTGTCTTGAACTTACCATTGTGTGCCGGTTTGGCATGTCCATATATACGTAGAAATACCCCATGGCGGATCGTCCCTCATTATAGTAAACCTACAACGAGCGATTATAACATACTATAAGAAGAAGAATAACCAACAACAATGACCAATTTAATTCACCGTGCAATGCAAAACATATTCACCATTACAAACAAATTAGTATTTTCACCATCTCAACAAACAAAATAAATAGTATTTTCATCATTAAAAAAATTAAATAGCATTGTTCTCCCATAAACCATTACAACAGAGAAAATACATAGTATTGTGCACAATCAAGTTCATACAACGTACAATGCAAATCATGTTCGTCATTCTAAGAAATAAAATACATATTTTTGTTCTACCAAAAACCACACAATAACAGTTCATACCATTCACGTTCACAAGTCAGAAAAAGACAACAATTTTCCATTACCAACACTACTCGCGACTATCACGAATGACCCTAACCATGAGCGCCCTATCGTCTTGCCCCATGCCCAGGAACATAGCAAGCTCTTTCGCATTGTTGCACAAACGCAGACATAACCATTCGCTCCTCAGTTGATAAAAAGTGAAAAGTACGAAGTGCATCGAGTACTTCTGTCATCTGAGCCATCTGAGCCTGTGTCATTTGCTCGTTGCCAATTCTGGCAGCAATTTCAGCCAACCGACCATTCGTGTTTTGCGAGAACGTTTCCATTACATTGATGATACGTTCGTCCATCAAGTTAGTGGACTCTTTCTTGTGTCTCTCATCCTTCCCCCTCTCCTGGAGCTACTTTCAGACGCCGTACCCGATGACTGACCGACATCATTGCCCGGGCTATCATCACATGGTGTTGGCTGCGATGGGATCTCATCGTCTTCTTGGTACGGCGAGTACTATAGACATCCTGAGCCGCGTCTCCGAAAGCCTGGGCATCATCAGCAGAGGCTCTGTCTTTCCCGAAGATTACAAACCAATCATCTTAAGTGGGGGAAAGACTTGTTCCTCAGTCCCTTCGCATTTAGGATCAACCTATTGGTCATGTTTTGGGGAACAAAAAGTGTAATGAGGATATGTAAATTATGTGAAATATATAGACGACTCAATGTTGGAATTTTAATTACAAGCAAACCTTCAGCCAAGAAGTCCATTTCTCATCATCACAGGAGAAGCTTTTTGAAATATCATTCCAACTCAATCCCGAGTTGTTTGATTTTATATTGGCCACACTCGCATAAGTTTTCTTCCACACATGCATTTTGGAGGTTATGTGCGGCTCAGCACGAAGTTGACATCCTGAAAGAAATGTCTTCATCTTCTTTTCAAAAACTGATGCATATGCATTTTCGCGTGGGTGCTGTTTACATATGCATCAGTTTTGGAAAAGAAGATGAAGACATTTCTTCCAGGATATCAACTTCGTGCTGAGCCGCACATAACCTCCAAAATACATGTGTGAAAGAAAAAACTTATGCGAGTGTGGCCAATATAAAATCAAACAACTCGGGATTGGGTTGGAATGATATTTCAAAAAGCTTCTCCTGTGATGATGAGAAGTGGGCTTCTTGACTGAAGGTTTGCTTGTAATTAAAATTCCAACATTGAGTCGTTTATATATTTCACATAATTTTCATATCCTCATTACATTTTTTGTTCCCAAAACATGAACAATAGGTTGATCCTAATGCGAAGGGACTGAGGAACAAGTCTTTCCCCCACTTAGATGATTGGTCTGTCATCTTCGGGAAAGACAGGGCCACTGGTGATGATGATGCCCAGGCTTTCCGAGACGCGACTCAAGATGTCCAGTAGGACCCGCCGTACCAAGAAGACAATGAGATCTCATCGCAGACCACACAGTCAACCATGTGATGGTAGCCCGGGCAATGATGACGGTTAGTCGTCGGGTACGGCGTCTGAAAGTAGCTCTAGGAGAGGGGGAAGGATGAGAGGCACAAAAAAGAGTCCACTAACTTGATGGACGAACGTTACATCAATGTAATGGAAACTTTCTCGCAGAACACGAATGACCGGTTGGCTGAGATCGCTGCCAGACTGGGCAACGAGCAAACGGCACAGGCTCAGATGCCAGAAGTACTGGATGCGCTTACTTTTCACTTTCTATCAGCTGAGGAGCGAATGGTTATATGCCTGCGTTTGTGCAACAATGCGAAAGAGCTTGTTAGGTTCCTGGGCATGGGGCAAGACGATAGGGCGCTCATGGTTAGGGTCAATCGCGATGGTCGCGGGTAGTGTTGGTAATGGAAAATTGTTGTCATTTGTTCTGTTTTCTTTTTCTGACTTGTGAACGTGAATGGTATGAATTGTTCTTGTGTGGTTTTGTGGTTTTGGGGAGAACAAAAATATGTATTTTGTTTCATAGAATGGTGAACATGTTTTGTATTGTACGAACTTGATTGTGCACAATACTATATATTTTCTCTGTTATAATGGTTTTGTGGTTTATGGGAGAACAATGCTATTTAAATTTTTTTTAATGGTGAAAATACTATTTATTTTGTTTGTTGAGATGGTGAAAATACTAATTTGTTTGTAATAGTGAACATGTGTTGCATTGCACGGTGAATTAAATTGGTTCTTCTTGTTGGTTAAATTAGTTATTCTTCTTCTTATAGTTATGTTATAATCGCTTATTGCAGGTTCGCTATAATGAGAGACGATCTACCATGGGGGTGTTTCTACGTACATATGGACATGTCAAACCAGCCCACAATGGTAAATTCAAGACACTCACTTTGAAGATTCAAGCAATATTCAAGTTACTATCAAGTTAAACATGACATTTTCACTTTGATAGGAGATTTGTGCAGCGAATGTTTATTTCAGGGGACATGTGATGCCTTTTCCAGTTACTATCATACTGTCGAAGGCCGTCATTATCCAATGGACATTTGCAAGCATTCGTATAGTGCCCATGACTTGAGGACTACTTTGCATTTTGCCAATGAGTGGCAATATTATGTTCAATCAGAGGATATACGTAACGAGTACTTCCTCTATTTTGAACGAGATGATTTTAGAACGTTCAATGTGAAGGTCTATACGGCNGTCGAGCGAGCATTGTTCGTAAGTCATTGATTTCATGATATGAGAGATTTTTTCGTCTACATTGTTCTTGCATATTTAATAAATGTTATCTTATTTAATATTATTTTTTTGTTTGTTGTTTTGAAGCCAATATAAAATTAACCCATCCTTCAACAAATGCAATAGACTACTATATCATGTTGGTAACACAAAATGTAGCAGAACTTATATTTTCATTAAGATAAATTCACAATATCATAAAAATAAAAATAAAAAAGGAAAAAGAACAAGAGAGGAGCTCACCTTTATGAATCCGAAGCTTCCACCTCTTCACAACAATGGCGTCGCTCGTTTCTGCAGGTAGGGAAAAAATGGCCGAATTAAAATATTTGCAAATAAATCCATATCATATAGAATTACACATCCTCATTGAAAATAAATCCACATTTCACACAACATCTAAGCCCAAACATTAATAAATGAAAGACCATTGTACCTAGTCCTTATCCTCTGATGTGCAAAAATAAATGTGCACAACCACACAGAAATTTAAGCCACATTGCACAAGATATATGTACAAAGTGTAAACTCTAATTTCCACTATCACATATCACATGGCACAGTGGAAAAGTTATATGTGCAATCTGAAAATCAGTTTCAAAAGGGCAAAATGACCACATGAAACTATCTTATCCTCAACTCTTTTTCCACTTATAAACCATTATTTAGAAACTAATGAATGTAAAACTTTGATAAATGGTCATCTTCAATATGAAACTAACACTTTTGGACAACATGTTAACCACATGAGCATCCAAGAATGCATAAAACAAGGCATAATAACATGTATCTCTTTTGCTCTTCTAGACTTATTAAACCAAATTAGGCACAGTAACAAGGCATGAGGCTGACCACAACCACCTCTTTTTAACACACAGACAATCGCATACACACACAGCCATGGCATATGAGTAAAACCGTAGCATTCCAAAGATCAAAAAATGAAAGAACATTGCACCGGTCCTCTCCAAATAAAACTCAGTTTTGAAAAAGAATAAACCACAACCACACAAAGAAATGAAAGAACATTGCAGAAGAGGCAAACACAAATTCTAAACTCAATCGATTTAAAAAACAAAACGACAAAGTTCAAATTATATTGGCAATCATATATTCAATCAGATGGTTCAATTCGACCAAACACTTTGATGGGGAAAAAAATACAAAAATCGCATTACTCGAATTTCGATTAGAGGAAATTGACATGCGTCCTCACGAAAAATAGCGAAGTAATATGGCGTCCTCCACTGCTCGTGCTCGTCTCACCCAGAGTGAACTAGGGCAAATGCCCATTTTCATAACACCAGTATATGGGCAAAACAGAATGCCAAAAGCACAGAAAAAATGGGAACATTGGAACTTACCACAGACAACGAAATAACGCACGCAGAAGAACACCTATTCAAGCACGAAGGGGGGGGATCTACAAAACTAGGGCAACAGGAATCAGGCAAATTCAGTACACAAAATAATTGAAATAAAAAAAACAATGACAATCGATAATTTCATACACAAAATAACATAACAAGGACGACAAATTCGAGCTTACCTAATAGACGGAGAGCATGAGGGAATCGAGTTCGTCGGAAAACCTAAAGTAGGGGTGCCCATCTCTGCGATGATGCAAGGAAAAATGACGAATTTTCGTTATTATATGGTATTGGATTGTAAATATATGACTTTTTGTAATGGAAAAGTGAGGATAGAATGGCCATTTGAAAATCGGGATAAGAATATCCGGCCTCCCCCGAGATTTAATTAATCAGCCAATGCAAGATATGGTGTGGGTCCCGCGCGCCACGTGTGCCAGCAAGGACGAATCCTGTCCCAATCATTTGAGGTAAATGAATGATAAACTCCACTATATTAGTTATCCTATCCCATCAGCCGAAGTAAACGACGCCCTTAGGTATGCATTTTGAAACATCTAGGACTGAAACTTAAACATATTTTTAACCTCAAAAACACATATGCTTATAGCCTCAACAACACAGCAACAAAAGCTCATAATAACCAACACAAACAAAGCCTTAAACTCAACACCAAGCACCTCTCTTTTGCTTAAAAATAAAGCATGCGTACAAACTCTTCTAGACTGAAACTTAGGTTCAAGAACACCAACTAATCTCATAAATTTTCAACAAAATACACATACTGAACAGAGGCTCAAAGCATTCAAACAAACTCAAGGCAAAAAGGCATATAGGTCACCCTCCCTTTTCCTTCAAAATCAAGCATGATTTTTCTAGCCTTTTTGAAACTGAAACCAAGAATATTAATACACGTAATCTCTGCCAAATATAAGGGGTAAAGGCTCAGCCGAATAATACCTCTCTCGGCTTAAAAGAAAAGACTGGCTCGGTTGGCTCTCGGCTCTCGGTTTAGCTGCTGTCCGCCGCCCGAGTCGCCGGCGCTACTTGTTTCTAATTGCCGCCGGTAGTCTGCTGCTCGGTTCCTTGGTCGCCGGCGCTCGGTTCGTCGGATGGCCAGAACAATTGGGCGATTTCTGCAAATTTTCTGTGAACTTTTCCTGAGGGAGAATTGAGAGTGGCGGCTGATCGGAGGGCCCAAAAAAATTAGGGCTTGAAGGGGAGGGAGATGCGTGGGTGAGCTCGCCGGATTTCATGGAAGTTGTTAGCCTAGGGCTCCTTCGATGTGTAGCTGCGGTCGATCTGCTGGGAGTGACGAGGTGAGATATTTGGGCCGAATAAAAATGGTAAGATGTTTGCTGAAATGGGCCGAGACCTAAGCTGCTAATGGGTTGATGCTTTTGGGCCGATAATCAATGTTGTTATTCTGCTGCTGGGGCTAAGTAAAAGGAGTTTGGGCTGGTTTTCTTAAGCTTTAGGTAATAAAAACTTAGGCTAAATATAAATTAACCACTTAGGAAAATAAATAAATCTAAATTATTAAATACCGCCTCACTTTTACTACCTACCACCCCCGTAAAAGATATTTTTGTCTTTAGTATAGAAAAAAAATAAAAAAAGTCACTTCCCATTCACTTGCCCCTTCATCGGCCGAAAAAAAAAAGATTCTTAAAAAAAAAATTCTATCAAAAACTTTGTTTGATTCGAAAAAAATCCAAAAAAAAATGGCGGAACGATCAAATCGCGGCGGCAAGGGCTAGAGGATTCCCCAAGTATTTTTTTTTTTATTCTTTTTGCCCTCTAAAACGACAATCAGCCGCCGATTCCGGCCGCCTTCGAACTGGCTGGCCGCCGATTTCGGCCGCATAAGCGATGGACCGCCGACGACCGTGGCCATAGCGCGTGCGGCCGCCCTTGACTTCGCGGCTGGTCCGTCGTTGGCCGCGATCGTCGGACGTCCCGACGGTCGGCCGCCTTCATCTGTTGCCGGCCGTTTCTTTTCCTGCCGGCGACGGCCGATTTTTGAATTTTATTTTTTTAAAATTGTTCGGCCGCCGCCGGCCGCGGTTTTTTATTATTTTTTTATTAAAAATGTTTATAAATATATTATTTATATATTAACAAATCAATATATATAAATATATTTTTTATAATGAATCAAAAAAATTAATAATTAATATGTATTAATATATATTTTATTATGAATTATATATATTTTATAAAATTTCATAATGAATTAAAATATATTTAATAATGAATATAAAATTATATATTATATAAAAATTATATTATATATATTTAATAGTATAAAACTATATATTATATATTAAATTATATATACTTTATAATGAATTAAAAATTGTAATAATTAATATAAATTTATAATTAATTATAAATACTTTAATTAATATATTAATGTATATTAAATTATAGATATTAACAATTTCATATATTAACAGATAAATCTATTATATATAGAATATAATATATTAATATAGATTAATAAAATTAATATATATTTTATATCAATATATATTAATAAAATTAATATATTATATGTATAATTATATTAGTATATATTTGATGTTAATATATATTAATATAGATTAATAAAATTAATATATATTTTAAATAAATATATTAATAAATATAATATATTATATATATAATATATTAGTAAAATTATAATTACTAGTGTAATATAAGTTGAAAAAACTATAATTAGTTTTCATAATTATATAATAAAAAATTGTAATTATATTAATGTTGTGTTTAAGAGTAATTACTAAATTAATTTTTAATACTTTTTAGAAGGATGGATCTTACCGAGAAGCAGCCAATCGTCGAGAGTGGGAAGAGTATGTTGACTTTGCTGGCGGTTCTGGACCCCGACACACGAAGAGTCAGTGTGCAGATACTTCTGCTCGTCGGGAGAGGGATGCGAGGCTCCGTGAGGCTCGCATGATATAGATGGGTCACGCTGGCCAGATTGGGCAGTTCGAGACCTCTCATTCCTGTGATAGAGAGTGGTCAGCAGCCCTGCGGCTCATTCATGCCTGACAGTGCGACACCCCTCCCTCGGATACATATTGGTCAACAGCAGGATTATTCTTATGAGTCGGCACCCGGGAGTCTGCAGGATGATGATGATGAGGACTATGCCCATTCATATGAGCAAGAGGAGCAGGAGCAGGACATTCCATCTCCTCCTCCCCTATCAGCACAGACTGTTGCACCACGTCTTCGACCTGGACGCCGTGATCCTCCACGACAGGCTGGGGGCCGTTATGCGGGCACTGCATCCTCCTCAGGTAAATAATTTACGTATTTATTGTTGTTTACCATTATATATTTTTTTTATTTAATAATAACATTTCATTGATACAGTCACTCATAGTATGTTGTATGTATATACACACACACACACACACACACACACATATATATATATATATATATGTTCTATTGTAATACAGCTTCGAGTAGCAAACGAGCTAGAAGTGATCAGCTTTGGGTCGTTAAAGCCCCAGTGCCCGGTGGCCCCGTTGATGGGAGTGTTATCCTAGCTTTCTGGGGCACGTAGCCTCCCATCTTTGGACCGATGGAGATTTTAGAGGCATGCTGAAGTGCCAGAACAGACAAGGAGCGCACGCCAAGTTGAAGGATTAGCTCTAAGGGATGGGTGACACTCAACGCGCTCTGATAGTTTAGACCTGGTTGTCACAT